ACGAGAATTGATGCTTGCCTCCTGAGAGACGGATTAAGTGATGAAACAGAAGAAAAACAAGTGAGGAACAGAAAGAGAGAGCAGAGGAAGACAGACATCATTTCGGAATTCGCCATCGGAGGGTTTCTGGATTATAGAACAACTGCAACCATTTCATTCACGTGTGATCTGAATTTTTTTTTTTTTGGAGAGAGAGAGAGAGAGAGGAGAAGGAGGAGGAGAGAGATGACCTTGGATACTATTAGTATGAAGTTTCAGCTTTGGCTTGGAATTTTGGAGGTCTTTGTAGCACATCATATTTTTGGTTGCATCTTTCAACTTTATAGAAAGGAAAAGCAAAAGCAGCTTCATGCATTTTTTGCATATAAAGAGATTCATAACAACAGCAGACCGTTTGATCAACCAATATTCAAAAATTGCTTTACCTTTCACAGTCCTTTGCTTTTCTTTCCTTATTATTCAATCTAATTTGTCGTACCCAGTGCACAAGGCTTCCGCTTTACGCAAGATCTGAGAGAGGTGAATGTCGGCTAGCCTTACCCCCATTTATGGAGAGGCTGCTCCCAATTATTATTCAATCTAATTGAAAGAAAAAAAAGAAATTAGACCCAAGTGAGAATTTTAAAGTGACAATCATAAGGAGGAAATCATTTCATTAAACCAAATTGATTGGAGGCTTGATATGCATTAATTCCTATTAAGGTTTGTTTGAACCATTGTTCAACCATTGCATTGCAATATAATTTTGGTTTTAGTTGAAAAATGTGAAATGACAGAAAGACGGAAAGACGAAATGAAAACGACGAACTGAAAACAATTATATGTTCTTTTTTACCTTCAAGTTTTTGTTTTCATATATCTACTTCTTTTCTTTTTTATTCCTCCTACCATCGCCCTTCGTCCTTTTTCATTTCTCATTTCTCCATGTATTTCCTTCTAGCTCTAGTACAAATACTGAAACTAAAAGCTAGAAAGTGACGTGGTTATTAAACGATCACTTAATTGTGTTACTGTGATGGATACAATAAACCTAACTTTTCTTCTACGTCTCACTTTGTTCTCTGGTTGGATACTTTGTTTGATACATGTGATATCAGTAAAAGAAACCAAACATATGACTTCGATGTACGGATTAATACTTTTAATCGTTTCAGCTACAAACTCATCATTTTGATCAGAGACCTTAACTTCATGCGTAAACGTTGTTGCATTACATCAACATTTGTACTTATGTATGAAGCCAAGATGATTAATGAGGGGATCTTTTTGGGTTGAACTAATGATGATTAACTAAGAGCCAAAGAAAGATATGATCAAGTTGGGAGAAGAAGCAGATAAAAGCTCCATGATTTCCTGCTTTCAAAGTGGACACATTAATTGGGTTCTTTTAGACCATCTTCCTCCCTTTGGCATTTTGATTGGAATATGTAGCAAAATTACTCGAAAAAAGTTGAGGTTTCATCATAAAATCAAAGGAAAAATAATGAAAAGGGTTTGAAAACTTTGAGTTTTAATGATAAGGACAAAATAAAGGGTAAAGTGAATAGTATCAAAATTGACTTTTTAGTGTAAAAATGTGGTTTTTCGTTAAAGTGAACAGTACCGGGTGCTTTTCGTTAAAGTTCCCTAAAATCAATTGGCTATACAGGGAATAGTCAAATTACTTAAGTACATGTAAGGTCATTTCTTTTCCCGATGTGAGATTATTCAACACGCCACAACACAATTAGGTGACATGGAGCCGTTGAGCTTAACACGTAGAACAACTTGCTCTAATACCATAAAAAAAGTTAAGGTTCCACAATAAAATTAATTGACAATACAACAAGTAGGCCAACTTATACATAAATTTATGCAAAATTCCTTCTTGCGCCAATATAAAATTTATCCTCAACAGTACTCTAGTATATTATTAAGGAGGAGGAGGAGCCCTCCGTCCGTCCTCCTTCCCCTTTTGCTTTAGACCAGAACGTGGAAAAAGAAAAAGCATATAGATTGATTTTGGAGATGTTGGGATTCATCGCCTTAATCTATGTCATTCTACCTCGCTCTCCCTCCCTCTCTTTTTGTGGACCTCTTTTGAATCTTTCTTTATTTTTATTTGGTCAATGGGTTATAATATATAGTTCTCCCCAGGAAGCATAATTATGAATGCAATAAAGGCCAGGTTTGGGAAGCTTAGTACTGTTCGATTTTCTCTTTAAACCAACAACTCTGGTTAGGTTGAGGGATATGAGTTTGGTCAGTTGGTTGTCATATTGTTGCACTTAAGTTTGATTTTTTGTTTTCGTAAATAAGTATTTTTGAATTTAGAAAGAAAAAGAATTTTAGGCAGACAAATTACAGTTTGACGTGTGAGACATAACCTTTTGTTTTTGTGATTCAACAAATTACATTTGTATATGTACCAAGCTATGATTTGTTAGTAAATATGAGTTTCTTTATATAGGCTTAATTATGCCAGTGGCTTTGAAACTCTGTTAAACCTCAAATTGCCCCTTGAAACTCACAATGATTCATTTTACCCTCTCGACCGACATGTTGTGACTCACCTTGTATGTACTTATAAGGAAATGAGTTATTCCTTATGTTGCTAATTGGTTTTATAAGAGAACGTCAACTTTATTTATGGTACAGGGGCAAGTTGTCTCATGTGTGAAGCCCAACACACGTGCTCCATGTCGTCCCGTTTGTATTGTCCACATATTAGGCTTGAAAGTTAACTACACGTGAAAGTATGAATCCCACATCAAAAAAAAAAAGAACCTTGCACGTGCTTATACGTAATTAGACTACTTCTCATATTGTTAATTGGTTTTATATATAGTAGCACTTCAACTTTCTTCAAGTTCACCATAAACCGATCTCTTTCCCCCCTTCCTTCCCTCCCTCCACTTTCCCCCTTCTCCCTCTCTTTGTTGACATGTTTTAATCTTTTTCACCTGAACTGAAGGACTCTAGGCCGATATATACACATATAAATACATACACAAAGTAGATGCCTCAAGTGGAATGAACCCTTGAGATTATTTCATAAGATTGCTTTGGTTTAAAGAGAACACAATAATTGACAATGTCGCCAAACGGGACCCTAAATAAGATAAAAAAAAACTACTGCTTTATATTATGATTCAATTTTTAGAAAGAAAAAAAAAAAGACAAAACACTCGATTGATCCTCCCCAAATGGAAATGGTGTCTCTGAGCTCGTGTAAGGTGATTGCTTGCTTCCATGCCTCTACACACTTTGATGATGATGCTGGTTTATGCACCAATGGTCCATCATCGCAATCATCATCAGCGGCGGAATCTTCCTTGCTAGTTGGCTACTTTTAGCCTTAATAATAAGTATATGGATCATTGGACTGCATAACTAATGACCCTCCTAAAGTCACCAAAATTCAACTCCATCTCCAACATGTTTGAACAAACATTTGGATTCACATTGGGGAGGAAAATTTCTTGCAAACATCTATGGAAGTATGATTTAGGGGGTAGAATACAGGACTTTCGATGCATAGCTACTAGTTGCGGACTCACTAGTTTTTCTTTCTCGGAGCAAGATGAAGCCCACATGCCGCTTTGCCTAGTTGTATTTGGCTACCATGCCTTAACCTCTTTGAAGTATCTTGTCAAATATCTTGCCCCGAAGACATCCATGCTTAATGATAGCATTAAAAACACATTTATTCTCCACCAAAGATTTATGATCACTTCAGGGTTGAAAGTAAAACACTACAAACACGTCTGATTATTCTCTACCATTGAAGTCCAAATTCAACGGTGAATGATCAATGATGATACGTATGTTGATCTCCGAATGAGCACAAAATTGTGGTGGTTAAGTATAAAGAACAAGTCTAGTACGTGCAGAGAGAGAGCATGAAAGTGATGACTGATTCAGTTAGGCTGACTGACTCATCACAACAAGAAAGAAACAAACACTGGTTAGGGTTTGGTGGAGTGTCAATGCAACAGCACTACTACCCTACAATGTTTTACATATGCGTGTCCATATATATATATATATAGATATATATCTATCCATCTATCTAGCTTTGTAATGATATGGACGAACGTAGTGATATTGGCATCACCAGATCTGCCTTTGAATCACCATATCTGAAAAAAAAGTGGCTTTATGTTAATCATCTCTTTAGCTTTAGTCGAGAAACCAATAGCTTACCTCCTTAGTGCCATAATTTGGTTGATATTGCTGAGGATATCACATCGCTGTACTACTCCCACCACCTAACTACGTTTATTCCCTTATTACCTGTTAACTTTACTAAGAATTTTTAGCTACCATTGATGTAACGTTAGAAATGACATCATGCATACCACATAACATTAGTCATTCTTCGGAATTTTTGGTGAAGGGGTGTGCAAAATACCGCTTAAACCATTCAAACTATCTGAGCATGCGATTTGGTTCAGTTCAGTTTGACCTACTTGTCCGCTTACTCCGAACCAAATCTCTTTAGGAAAAAATGACTTAACCAAACTGACCGCTAATTGAATTGAGTTTGTTCGATTATGCTACTAGTTGGAGGCATCAATCAAATCAAATCAATTTGAGCCGTGATGTTACATTGGTTTTGAGTATTGTATGAGTCCTAAATCGAATTAAACTCACCATGCCCGCCTCTAATTTTTTTATTTTTTTTTAATAACGATATTATCTACACTAAGGGCGAGGGGTAGGCTTAGCTTGACAATGGGTTAACAATAATGTGGTTCAAATTCTCCTTTGACAAGAATCAAATCTAAAACCTCTCACTTACAAGTGAAGAAGAATGCCAACTAATTACAATTGTAATAATCATGTTCTTTGCATAATCTGTTCCCCATTTGGCTTTCTTTTTTGGGTCGGCCGAAGGATTCCTGGAAGGAAAAAGGCCTAAACAAAGGAAAGCTCAAAAGGCCCATACCAATGGAAAGCCCAAACGGCCCACACCAATCTTTTGCTCATTATATATTTGAATTTTGAACCAAAGGAAATAGAAGAGTGTCTCGTCGGACGAAAGTTCCCCAATTCCAGAGAGATCGACAATGAAGCAGCAATCCAAGGACCCATTCGAAGCGGCGTTCGAGGAGCAAGAAGACGACTCACCGCCCGATTCTCCGGCCGTCGCTGAAGCCGCGCGCGCCGCCTTTGGTGCCCTAGAAGAGGACGACCCTCTTCTTGTTCCTGGCCCGTCATCTTCCTCCGCGCCATCAGCTGCAGCGCCGAAAGCAACAGCAGTTACCAGAACAAGAACAACGCCAACTGCTGCTGCGACGGCGCCCTCCGCCTCTGCTCGGCCCGCTGTCAAGAACAAGGATGACGACGACGATGACGACGAAGACAACATGGATGTCGAGCTCGGAAAGTTCTCCGCCACCGGTGATCCTGACAAAATGGCCAAGATGCAGTATGTTGCTTTCGAATTTTTCACTTTTATTTAACAGCATTTCATAATTCAGCTAATTTTTTTTAGTAATTAATCACTTTTTCATAAACCCCAATTCGTAGTTCAGCTTTTTTTTTCTTTCAATAAATTTAGTGTATTTTATCAATTTACTAATTAGGGTTTGTAGATAAAAGTGCTTTGTAACTTGATGGAGCAGATTCATCATACCTTGATTTATAGCAGTAAGGGGAAACACTTCGATCTCAGATATTTAAAGAGAAACCCGACTTACTTTGTAACACCAAGGGATTTCGTAACTAAGAATCGATTAGAGCATGGCTAGTGTACAGATGAGGGTTTTGTTTTCTCCAATTGAGCTGTTGAAGTGTTTTTGATATAGAGCTTATCGTCGTTGGGGTGTTTTTTCGGGTTTAGTAAAACAAGGTGGAAGGTGAGGCAACTCGACTAGGGTATGAAGGGTCCAAGTAGGTTTTGAATGAGAACAGTTTGAAACAAAAGTTGTAAGCTTGATAGATGTACTTTGTAGTATTCTAATTTCTTAGTATGCTTGCTTCCTTGAGCTTGTTCTAACTTTCGTTGTATCTCATGTAATACATCTGGTTGGTGATTATTCTTGTCCTTCTAAACTCCTAGATTTGAATAATCTTTCAGGGCTATTTTATCGCAATTCTCAGAGGAACAGATGAGTAGGTACGAGTCGTTTCGCAGAGCTGGATTTCAGAGAGCCAACATGAAAAGGGTGTGATTCCTTGTTACCTTTCCGTATAGAAGGCATTTCTGGAACCTGTATAGATTTTTCATATTTTCAACAGTAGCCATTTCGCATTAATGTTTGTGTGCATTATTTGTTGCAGTTGTTAACTAGCATCAGTGGAACTCCAAAAATATCTGCGCCAATGAATATTGTAGTGTCAGGGATAGCAAAGATGTTTGTTGGTGAACTTGTTGAGACAGGTATGTTATGAAAAATTTAGTGTAACATGAATTTTAATGGCCCACCATTTATTTGGCTTACCAAGAGCCTCTATGTTATTTTGCAGCCAGAATAGTGATGTCAGAGAGGAAAGAGTCTGGGCCAATCAGGCCATGCCACCTTAGAGAAGCATACAGAAGGTTGAAGCTTGAAGGGAAGGTACCAAAGAGATCACAGTCTAGGCTCTTCCGGTAGATGGGCCAATTTCACGTTCTGGTGCTCATTGGACAGGTTACTACTCATAACCTTGTTAGATGTCATGGAAATCTATTGTGTGTTTGATGGCATTCTCATCCTCTACCTTTTAGGCAGTCAAATTGAGAACGACAAACCCTTCAAAAGGAAAACTGCATATAGAAAACATATGAAAACAAGAGAGAAGCAGGTAGAGAATTTGTTATAGAACGAGGGCGTTTTTCTACCTAGAACAAAAATGCTGGTTTTCATCTTTATGAAGTAAAGTTGCTTCAAAACTCTGCACCATGATGCTGTGATTGTCAAGTTCAAAGTCAGCTAACCTTCATAAGTTAGGTCACTGTTATTCTCTTAAAGTTGTTTTTGAGATCTCCCCGTCTCTTTGGAAGGTAAAAATATCACAAGTGGTGTCTAGTTGTTGGATAGGTTTGTTTTCTGAAGGTTATTTGGAAGACTTAGAAACATCAGCCCATGAGTAAAACATATCTGGATAGTTTGAGCATTGATTAGCTTAGAATACACAGGAACATCGGCCCATGACGGAAATGTGATCTTATGACTAGGCTCGTGATCTCAAGAACAAAGGATGAGATCACGATCCCATTGTTTGTTTATTCCGTGAAGATTTAAAAATGTACGTACGCTGCCGATGAGCATTCTTTATAATTGGTTTAGCTGTAGCATACTGAAGATAGGAAGTCCTTTCTCATGTTGCTTTTGGCAAACCCCAAACATGGTATATGCATCTATTTGTTTCTTTTTTCGTTTTTCTTTGAGTGGAAGGCTATTTGGTGGCACATTGCTTTACAGTTTACACTTCATTTCATTTTATCCTGACACAAAACTGTGTGAAGAAATCTGTAAAATATACTATCATCTGTTCTAAGTCGGTCTTTCTTCTGCTCATATTTGAAGGTCAACATATCTGTAAGTCGGAGTTGGGATGCAGTACATATACAATACGATTAAAGACCAGACGTATCGCACTTGATCATCACTTGTGGTAGTATCTTCCTCTTCGATCGCGTTTTCCGGGAGACATAGAAGGTGCCGATTTAAATCACAATAACGACGATGTTGCCAGCTTCGTTTGTTGATGCCGTTTTGACTTGTGACCCATGATACTTATGCTAGTTATTTGCCGTCCGTGCTATGTTGGTGCATTTTTTTTTCTCGCAACCAAGCGACTGATTGGATGTATTATAAGATATTGGAGCTGTGTGTAGTCATTGTAATTTGTAATGTTCAGTTGCTGGTGCATGAAAATATTTTGCATGTGGATGAATGAGTTTATATACTGAATGTCACTGGGTCGGGTCAAAAATACATGACTTGGGATGGATTTCATGGTTATTTCCGCTGCTATTATTTATTTTTGGAAATACCCAAATCAAAATGCTTACATGCTTTTAATGGAAAAATGGAATTTTTTATTTTTAAAATTTAAAATTTTGTAAACAATGATAACCACCACGGGTGGCCAGTAGTTGGGGATGATTTTTAGGTTTGTATTTTACATGGCACGTTCTGATTTCGATTTATAGAGTTTGTGGATCGCACGATGGTGGTCAAGAGAGCTTATGTTAGTCTTTTTTGACCTGGCCCCTGGTAGGCTGGTTGGTTCCCTTTTTAAAAGGGAAAAAAAATGATATATTTACATTAAGTAGGTAGGGAACTTAGATTAAGCTACACAACGGAAATAACAGTTTGGTTTGAATTTATTTTCGAAGATATTTGAACTTAAGATCTTTTATTTATAAATGAAGAGAAATATTACTCGTACTGAATAGTAGAATTTAATGAACGCTGAAGTTGCTAATAAAAGGGCATTAAATTGTGGTTTATATGATTATATCTCGCTGATTGTTGCTTTAGCTTTATATTTTGTTAAAAAAATATGTAACTCGTTATGTTTGTGTGTGTTTTCCTTGATTTTTATATTTGTTGAATTGAAAAGTTGAAAACTAAATTGCATGATTGCCCTTGGTTTGATGCACCCTCGTTAGCATACCCAACAATGCACCCTCGTTAGCATACCCAACAAATGAGCAAGTGTCACAACATTTTGTATTTCTTTTGGTCGAGGTCACAAATTTGTGTTTTAAGACTTGAGCTTATTTTGTTTGAGGTCAAAATATATTATTATGTTTTAAAATTAAGTCAATCAACGCTTTGTGCTTTAAGGAGTTGTTAACGAAGAGAAAAAGTATTTGTATGTCTATATGTCAAAATATGAAATTATTTGTTGACCTCGTTTATCTATTGAGAAAAGTATGAAATTAATTACGTTAGCAAAGTGTAGTTGGTTACAACAAAAATAAAAATCCACAATTTTCGAGATGTGGAGCTGAGGTTGGTTGTTGAACATAGGGGTGGGTTCGGTTCAAATCGGTTTGGTTTTTTGCCAAAACCGAAACCAAACTGAAATTTCGGTTCGGTTTATTTTTTTTTCGGTTTGGTTTTTTTTCGGTTCGGTTTTTTCCGGTTTGGTTTCGTTTTTTTTTTTTAAATGAAAAACATTGAAATTTTAAATTTTAACATATCCAACACAATCATAACATAAGCATTCTAACTAGAATCAAAGACAATGAAAATAAACATTTAAAGTTGAACTAAAATCATCAATCAAGTCTTCCAAAGTTCAAACTAACAACCTCACAACACAAAAATCGTACAAATGACTTAGAAAAGTTAAATTGTATGATGTTGTTCAAAGATCAGGGTTGTTTGCTTGTAACTGCATGTTGACAACTTGATTAGTAAAAGTAATGCATGGGTGGATTTATTTAGTGTGTGTTGGATTCTTTTCCATCACAAATTATCCAAGTAATATACCCGAAATAAATGTTTATGGATTATGTTACATGTTATATGAGAGTAGATTTGGAAAAGAAAGCTGGGGGCAGAAGTAAACAGTGCTATGGAGATGGATGTAGGTACTTCAGTACTTCAGGAGGAGGTTTGGTTCCGGAACCTTATATGGGGGAGAAATAATAGGTTAGGGTTTAGAGTTTTTATAGGCCTTTTTTTAATATTTTAAGCTTAAAGTTTGGCAACACATTGGGTTTAACACATTTTAACTTACAAATTGGGTTTAGAAAATAATACCCAAAACAAATAATTAAATAAAAAATTTAATTTAATTAATTCGGTTCGGTTTGGTTCGATTTTTTCGGTTTCGGTTCGGTTCGGTTTTCAGTTTTTTGAACCCACCCCTGGTTGAACACACCTTTGATGTATTATCAAAGTTTTATTGAAAATTGTAATTGAAAAAAGATTTGTAATCAACAAGTTTAGCAGTTGATCAAGATGATGTACTCGCACCCTACACTTGAGTTTGATTTGTTGCCCGAGAGATCACATTAGTTTAGACTACATCCTCGTCAAAAAGAAAAAATATTCTTCGTGTTTTAATGTTAGAATCTCAACCTCCCCAAACTATGACTCAATTAGATCTTCACCGAATATGCAGTTGGCTAGAGCAGTGTGTGCGCCTGTTCTTTTACCCGAGTAAGTTCATGTCTAAGTAGAGATTAGGCGCAATCCTCAAATGTTTGTATAATGGGCTGTGTGAAGACAGAGAAGCCCAAACCAAGTAAACGTGTCCAGAGTGCCGACCCTGCCATTGCAGCTAGTCTGCTAACGCACTGGTACAAGTGCATAGTGCGTCTTGTTGTTAGCCACCAGCAGCAACCATATTTTAGTCGCGTTGTATAAATTTATGTTATCGCCCACTTGGGTTCTGCCTCTGCCTCCCATCTCTCTCTCTCTCTGATTGTCTCGCCAGACTTTCGACCTGCCTTCTCCTCCTCCTCCTCCTCCTGTCTCTCTCTCTCTCTCTAGCTCTTCAGCCTCCCCGTCCTTGTTCGTGCCATTGTTGATGAACAAATCCTCAGAAACAAACCATTGATTTCTGACAACAATTTTGACTCGGTTCTTCATTGGGGTTGTATCCAAAAAGGAGATGTTAATGCTGTGAGTTGGTAGTCCGAGAGGTCGAATTTTTCACCGGATGATGATGAGGTCTGCCTGCTGCTCCTCTTTTCATGTTTCTTGGTTTTTTGTTTTGCTTCATTGGTGTGCGATTCTCAGCGAATTAGTCCGAACCGTCGATTGGTTTTGTTGGCTGGTTGGTTCTTGGGATCAGGCTTCATCATTTCCTTCCTGTTTCTGTAAATTTAATTTTTATTTTTTTCAATTTTCTGAACAATCGGTCGTTTACTGGATGAGAGATCTTCTCCTTTCTCTCTCTGATTTTTTCACTTGGGTCGAAATCAGTTTCTGGGTCCAATCGGATTCGGTTGCTGATGCAGAAATGCTTCTGCTCCCGCAGATAACAGAGCTCTCTGTCTCGGTTCTTCAGATTCAGCTTTCTGTTGTCAACTGCAGAAAAATGGTGTTAGAAAACTGGTTTCGGTTTCGAATCACTCCTCACCAACATTCAAACCACTCTCACCAATACCCAGCTTCTGTTGGCCAATTTCGATTCCCCGTTTTCAATCAGATTGCAAAATTGTTTCCAAAAATTTCAGCTAAGATCTTGGGTTTTATCATCTCTTCAGTAAAACTGATAATCCTACCCAGAAATTTGATCTTGGAACCAGAAATTCTGAGTTCGTTTTACTTATTTCCTTCTCAATTCGTCCAAATTGATGTCGATTTGTTCTTCGATTTTATGAATTCAGCTGCGGAAACGGATTTGCGTTTAGATTTCTCTAATGGGTTCTTGAATTTTGTTTTTTCAGGTACCTGAGAGTGAGCCCAGATTGCGTTCCTCTGAGCAATGGCAAGAAACCAACCGTGAGAACCATATCCAAAGACGACGGGATTACAGACACCGTGACAACAAACAGTATAGTCACATCTCTAGAACCCACCAAACCCTTCAGATTCCGATCCCAACCCACGCCTCAAGACCCGACCCAATCCCAATTCGGAACCCGACCCACTTCCCCAGACGGCGAAATCCACCACCAGACCCAGCAGCGGCTGGACAAGAGTCCCAGCCGGACTCCCAGCCCAATCCGCGGAGCCGGCGATGTGCTGCTACAGTGGGGCCAGAGAAAGAGGTCGAGAGTCTCCAGGACTGAGATCCGAGCTGTCACCGATGAGTCCTCTTCGTCGGCCCAAGCAAGGCAGGCTTCAAAGCTGCAGAGGAGAGACAAGTCCATGCCGCCTCCGCCGCCCCCGCCGCCCCTTCCGTCTTCTTCCTCCACTACGTCGTCGTTTTCTAATGGCAGCAGACCGAGAAAGGAAGCCTCCGGGTCGCTTCCTAGCAGGTACCCTCCCTATACCAACCTTCCAAGTTCCAACTCCTTTCATTATTTTGTTTTTATTTCTTTCCTTTTTTCTCCCTGTGGATTAATAATATTTACCTCTTTTAATGCAATTTTTACTGCTCCGGATCATTTGGTAGATCTTGCATTATCTCTGTTCTTGTCAAAAATATTTAAAGTCCAGTCCTCCAATCACGTTGGTTTTACTTTTTGGTCCACCCATTTTTTTCCTAATATATGCTATGATTTTATTTGGGGTTTTTGCAGGCTGAGATTTTGTTTTCTCAGAGACTGTTTAGTCCTTTGGTTCAAGATCTAAAATTTACAAACCCTTTGGGTCCTTTTTGGTACAACCAACCCATGTTCTTGTCCAGCTGATCCTGTTCAATCCATCTTCAAAAACTACGCGTTTTTACAATTTTTCATTTATTTGACCCTTTTACCCCTCGATACACCATAAAATTTCCTTCATCATCCACCTCTCTCATGGTCTCTCAGCTGCTTTCTCTCACAGAGACCAAACAGATTCAAATGCTCTGTTTTGCTCTTTCTCTGTTTTTTGCCTTGTTTTTTCACTTTTTGTGAAGTGGATTTATAGAAAATTCATAAAAATCTCATCACCTTCCTTGAAAATCCTCCCTCCCAATTTCCCTTTTTTTCTCATTGGAATTTGTGTTTTTTTTTAAAGATTTTCTTGGAGGCAGTGAGAGTATTTATCTAATTAATTAGTATATAATAGAAGGTTAATCTTGCTTTTTCTTCATTTAATTGGGTATCAAATCCTGTCTTTTTCTGTTGTCTTTCCCTCTGATTACTTATCTCTGTTCTGGGACAGTGTAGAAAAAAACCCTCCATCTGATCCCTCCCACTCCCAAAAGTCCCTTCCTTTTTCATCCACCTAAATCTCCCAACTCACCCATTTATTACGATCTCCTCTTCTCTTTGGCCATGACCAGGAATTTGGAAGATCGATCTGCCGAGGTTAATGGGTCGCCATCGAGAAACCCTACTGGTGGCAGCAACGGCCGAGCCGCTTCTAGATCTACGGCGGGTAAACGATCTCCTCCGCCGGAGAAAAATGAGAGAAAGGTGCCAGCTTGCTCAGGCAGGTCATCAGCAGCAGCCAAAAATGACAGCAAGCCAAATGGAGCTCAAGCTGATTCTACTTTGTTGCAATCGGATCAATTAGCGGCTGGTTCGGGAGCGGCGGCTAATTGTGGTGCCGCTGCCGCAGCGGAGAAGGTGAACTACGAAGTGGTGGAGTGGCCGAGAATTTATATTGCTTTGTCGAGGAAGGAGAAGGAAGATGATTTCCTTGCAATGAAAGGCACAAAGCTCCCTCAGAGACCCAAAAAAAGGGCCAAAAATATTGATAGAACTCTGCAGGTATGTTAAAATTTAAAAAATCATTTTTCTTCAATTTTAATTTTAATTTTAATTTTTGGGTTTAATTAAAAACAAAAAAAATTAATTGAAATATATTTGTTTGTTGGCAGTATTGTTTTCCAGGGATGTGGCTATCTGACTTGACAAGGAATCGATATGAGGTCAGGGAGAAGAAATGTGTGAAGAAGGTAATATGCTGCTCTTTCCTGCTGTTTTCCTCTTTTGTCTTTTTCCTCAGATTTTTATAAATTTTAAATATCCACACACCTTCATTAATATGGAAAAGGAAATATATTTTTGCTAGAGAACAAGATCCAACTAGATTTGAGGTCAGGTGTTATGTGAAACGGGTTAAATGCTACCGCTGCGTTCCAGTTCAAAAATGTATTGATATGTGAATAAAAAACATTGACATGATAATGCGTTATTAGACTAACTTCAACGATAGATTCATGAAAGGTATTCGTATATAATTACATTGCTCAAAAGTTTGCGACTAATTGTCATTCACTTTTTGTTTTCTTAGTGGAGGAAATAATTAGGTGCTTAAAGTGGAGAATAATAATATTTAACATTGTCTTTTCATACCAACATTAATAATGTTTCTTATAGTGGTGAAAAGTGAAAAACAGCCTGTATATAATTTATTTATGGAAGTGTATTTTGACATTCCATTTTTTTTAGTGTTAATGACATGTTATTCCTCTTTGGCTTTTTAGTTAAAATGATCTCTGGAATTATTATAACTCTTTATTTTAATTTTTGAGATTTAAAACCGATAAAAGTGGTATTTGAGATTATCTACTGTCAATTATTATGATATTTTAGTAAAAAAAATCTTTGTTAAATTAAAGAAACTACCAGTTCAAGAGAAATAGTTGATTTTTAAAATGGTCTCTGAAATTATAATAACTCCTGATTTTAATCTTTGAGATTTAAAACCGATAAAAGTGGTAGTCTCTGAAATTATAATAACTCCTGATTTTAATCTTTGAGATTTAAAACCGATAAAAGTGGTATTTGAGATTGTCCATCGTTAATTATTTTGGTAATTTAGTAAAATATATTTGTTAAATCAAAGAAACTACCAGTTCAAGAGGAATAATTGATTTGACAAAAATATCCTCAATTTAACAAATATTTATCATGAAACGGTGGGCAATCTTAGGACAATTTATATCAATTTTAAATATCAAGAATGAAAGGGAGAAGTTATGTTAATCTTATAAAGAATTTTGGATTAAAAAAAAAAACATTCCTCTTTTAATTCCAAAAATACAATGCAGGAGCATAACTAGTTCTCAAATTTTGATTTGTTTGTAACGCCTAATAACTTCAAAATTTCTTTTATTTGTTTTATGCCAAGTATACAAAATTTAATATAACAAAGAAGAGGAATTGAAATCACTTGACTCTCGTATTCCACTAGTAAATTAAATTACATAATTAATGCATTGAAATCATAAATTCTACTTTTTCATCTTAAAAATATGAATTACGTAGTTTAATTTATTAGTGAAATACGCATAACAACTGATATAAGAAAAGACAAATGGATATTCTTCAACAAATAAATAGATAAAATAGTAAAGGTTGCATAATATTTTGGTTGGGTTGCATGTGCAGCAAAAGAGAAGGGGACTCAAGGGAATGGACAGCATCGACAGTGATTCCGAGTAGCCATCTTTTTATTTTCATTCCCCTAAATTGTATAATTATTCAAAATTATTATAGAAAAGAAAAACATTAAGTGTGAGAAATTCAAAAATCAAATACTGTTACCCGGGTCTGGGAGTAAGGGCCCACGCACTACCTTTTCGTAGTCCACCTGCCGTCGATGTCGATGATGATGGTTTTTGTCATTTGGAGGATCAACGGCTGAGATGTTCTTCTTGAGCTCTTAGGGGTAGTTATGAGATTTTAGACTTTGGGGTGAGGGCATTTTGGTCAGCAAAGGTCACTGACTGGAAAAGTGAGAAGCGTACGTGCCTTTTTGACTCGGTCTGTCTGTGACTCAGTGGACGCCACCCAACTCGGCAATTAGATAAACTAGAATTTTCTTTTTCTTTCTCAAATGTGTTTTTTATTTTTATCTTTATTTTATTTAAATTTATTGGTTTCTGGCATCGATTAATTGATGTTGGCTATAAATATCTTCTGTATTTCTCCCTTCAATAACAAAGCAGTTTCACTTTTCTTTTTGTTACTAATTCCTCATAAAACACACAATTTTCTTATGCTTCGACGTACGTCTTACATGCCATTGTGTGGAACCAATTCTTGGAACTCAAAATTATTTTCTTTAAAAACGCTTTTAATTATTTTAAAAGCATTTCAAACGAGTGATGCTCCTTTTGCACCTCAAAACACGAAAAGCAAATGTTGAGATTTAATTAAATTTCATTTGATCAAATTTCAACATTTCATTCGTGAAAAACGGTGCGATATAGACCCAAGTCTAGTCAACCTAAGAGGACTTTGCTAACTTGTAGAATGGGCGGAGGACTTGGAATTTTCGACCCCATCGATTTCCTAACAAGCTTCAGCTTCTTATATATTGACTTGTATCCTCACCTCAGTAGCCAGCCATCTGCAACAAAAAAGAAAAACTTGGTAAAAATGGGTAGGTTCCATGCTTGCTTATTCAACCCTACTTTTCACCTCAACATTTTGCTCTTTCTGGTTTTGGCCTCTTCATATCTTTCAGTCACTGCGAAATCATGCATCGAGGAAGAGAGAGGAGCACTTCTCAGCTTTAAACAACACCTCACCGATCAGTCCCGTCGGCTTTCTTCTTGGGTTGGTCACGATTGCTGTCAATGGGAAGGGATTTCGTGCGACAACCTCACTGGTCACGCTACAAAAATTGACCTCCGTAATACTTATGCAACTCGGTGGTTGGGAGGTGATGTAGGGTGGGACGCTGTTGAAAGGTCTCGCTTGGCAGGTAAGGTAACTTCATCCTTGCTTACCTTGAAACATTTGAGCTACCTAGACCTAAGTTACAATCATTTCCAAGGGATTCACATTGTTTGCCAACTTCCAACTTTGAGATATTTCAACTTCTCATTTGCATCATCTGGGGGAGAATCTGAATTTCCCAAAAGCATTTTCAACCTTACCAACCTCCAAACACTTGACCTAAGTGGAAATTATTTCACCGGTCATTTTCCTCCCCAACTTGCAAGCCTCGAATCTCTTAAACACCTTGATTTATCTGATAATGACCTCAAAGGTAGAATTCCCAAACTCCTTGGAAACTTTTGCAATCTAAAGACCTTAAACCTCGCTCGCAACGAATTTGATGGGGGGTTTCAAGAGCTTTTGAGTGGTTTCTCAAATTGCACAAACAACAGATTAGAGTCACTAGATTTGTCTTCCAATGAGTTTGCAACAGAATTGTCTTGCTCCTTAAGAGTTCCAACAAACTTGCAGCACCTTGAGCTCCACAGCAACTTGTTTTGGGGCTCGTTTCCAACTTCTGTTGGAAACTTGTCATCCTTGAAAAGTCTAAACCTTTGGAACAACAACATGAACGGATCTATTCCCGAAAGTTTGGGCCAACTATCTGAGCTAGTTGACCTGGGTTTGGATGGGAATTCATGGGAAGGCATTTTAACAGAAACTCATTTCATAAATCTCACAAGACTGCAATCTCTTTATCTGTCCACGGATGGAGCTATGCCGCTCATTTTCAATGTGAGTTATGAGTGGATTCCCCCCTTCCAGCTCCACACAATTTACATTACAAATTGTAGTGTAGGTCCTGCATTTCCTGTATGGCTTCAATCTCAAACTGAGCTACTTTATGTCACCCTTAGTAGTACCAGAATCTCAGATTCTATACCAGAGGAATGGTTCTTCAACTTATCTTCCAAAGTTGAATATTTGGTTTTATCTCGCAACCAAATCCGCGGAAAGCTTCAATCCCAACTCAAATTTCCAAATTTACATTATATGGATTTGAGTCGTAATCAATTTGAAGGTCCACTTCCACATTTCTCTTCTGATGCCACTTATCTTCATCTCCAAAGTAATAGTTTTTCCGGGCCTATTCCTTCAAATTTCGGACAACTGATGCCCAAATTAAGATATTTGAATCTTGCGGAGAATCACTTGAATGGTACAATTCCATCCTCTCTATGCGACATGCAGAACTTGACAATCCTGTCCCTAAGGAGCAATCAGTTTTACGGAGAATTCCCAGAAGCATGGAGTGTGTGGCATGATATATGGGTTGTTGATGTGGCAGACAATAACCTCTCTGGTAATATTCCGAGTTCAATGGGGGTCCCGAGTTCTCTACATATATTGAAGATGAACAACAACAATTTTGGTGGCGAAATTCCTTTCGAGTTGAAGAATGCAACTTACTTGAGCAGTATTGATCTTGGGGGCAACAAATTAACCGGAAGTGTTCCTTTATGGATCGGATCAAACAACTCCTATTTGTCTACGCTTCGTTTGCACTCCAACTTTTTAAGTGGACATATCCCGCGCCATCTTTGCAATCTTCCCTTCCTTCACATCCTAGACCTTGGCCATAACAATCTTTCAGGGACCATTCCCAAGTGTTTGAAGAATTTGACGACTTTGACTTTCTCTCCATCCAATAATTATTCAGACACTAGATATGATGAGATCCAAACAACAGTCACGGCGAAAGGAAGCGAACTCGTTTATTACAGCACTGCTTTGAAATGGGTTTATAGCATTGATCTTTCATCAAATAATTTAGAAGGCGAAATTCCTGAAGAAATGACCAGCCTCATTGCATTGGGAACCTTGAACTTGTCAAGAAATCAGTTAAGGGGGAACATTCCCTCAACGATTGGAAATTTGCATTGGTTGGAAACTCTTGATCTCTCACACAATCGCCTTTCGGGACAAATTCCTCAAAGTTACTCCTCTTTATCGCTCTTGGCTCATGTGAACTTGTCTTTCAACAACTTGGCTGGAAGAATTCCTTCGGGCAACCAACTCCAGACGCTTGAGGACTCTTCCATTTATGAAGGCAATCCATTACTCTGTGGGGTTCCTCTTTCAACCAAGTGCCCGGGAGATGAAACACCGCCTTTTCCCTCTAGTGATGCAGGAGATAATAAAGATGATGACGATAATGGAAAGCTTTGGCTCTATGTCAGTATCACACTCGGCTTCATTACAAGCTTTTGGGGAGTTTGTGGCACATTAATCGTAAAGAAGTCATGGAGGTATGCCTATTTTCATTTCTTTGATGATATGAAAGATAAAGTAGCATTAGCAATTGCATTGAAAGTGGCTCGGTTGCAAAGAAAAATTTGATTCGAAAAAATGTACTGAACTCATATAGTATTCTTACCATGCGTGATGCTTTCTGTTGGTCTTTATAATGTGTAATAAGCTACTAGGACACGATGTGTTCTGTTTTAAGTACTTCAGTTGTTTGCGTTGATTAAGATTTAACTTCAATTGTTTGTCGGAAGTTCGAAATTCATATTCGATGCAGATAAAAATAATAATGTTCTAACAACAGTTGCATTCAAGGACTTAATTATCTATTCAAACAAAACAAAAATGTGGATTTACAAAACGCTGAATAAGTTTACAAAGGAACATGTCTTTGATAACATATATCTAAATGAAATCTGAGCCACTCCCAAAACGCTGGAGATCTGGATAAGTGCCCCCCTCCCCCGACCTTGGCAGATTCCGATTAGGCTCAAAACCAGGAACATCTTACGAGCGCCTCGTGGCAATGGCGGATCCAGACTTCTAACATTGGGTGGTCCTAGTATTGGACTTGAAGTATCCAAAATCGGATCAGAACCATCCAAAATTGGAGTTAAAATGAGAAATAATATTGACCAAACTAATCGATAATGTTTTCACGTGTTAATATCGTTCCAAACTTCTAATTTCTACACATATCAATTATTAAAACAAAAAATCATATCAGTTAATGAACGAACATACATACATACATACATACATACATATCAAATAGTAAAAAATCATAAATTACAATCTAATAAGCATAGCAATAACTATAATCTATTAGAAATTCAAAAAATTTCATCCATTATACATCTATTTGAATAGCATCCTGTATTATTAATTTGGGCTAAGATTTGTAAGCTTAGTTAAATTTAAAAATTAGGACATTATCAAAAATGAAAAATAGAAATTAAGAAATTCGTTGGTGGTGGACAGGAGAGAGGTGGAGCAGGTGGTGGATCCGTGGAGAGTTGGTAGGTTGTGGGTGGAAGGAAAAAGGGAATTGGGAATAGGAGGAAAAATAGATTTGGGCTTTGGGCATTACTTGAAAAATGTCCACTCTCTGTATCGGGTTTTCAAACTACAATCGACAACAGTTATGAATAATATCTACAGCAAAATTCAATCAAAAGGCTGCAGCAATACAATCGCATTCTCAAATGCAATAATTAGACAATGCACATTTTACTTGAGTAATTCCCACAAAACCACAAATTAATAGTCATCTCCAAATAATTGAAAAACCAAGAAATAGGTGAATCAATGCGATAAAATAAGCAGTTCAGTTTGCATCAATATTCTATTAAGTTGACATCAAGAATCAATATACAGTCAAAATGGCGAATTCGGAAGTATATGTTAACAAAAGTTGCAATGGCTCCTGTTCGCTTATATGTTTGAGTGTCAGTGAGGATTTTGATGATTTAGAAGATGCACCTCAGATTGATTGATGGGACAAAGTCTATTACATTAACCGGCATGTTGATTTAACCTAAACCTTATTGTTTTTCTTTTGGTTCTTAAAAAAAAAACATGAAAAAGATAAAGCTGATCATTCCAATTGTAATTGGGATAAAATATTCTTCACTTTTTTTTCCAAAGCTTTTCAATAAAGAAGATACTGTTTGTATGGTTAGAGGTTTTTCATGCCAGCAAACCTTCTCCGATATTCCCAATGGTCAACCAGTAGTAAAATTGTAATGAAGATGGAGACTACCCCAGCTGTCTCTGATTAAATGCATGTAGATACTGAATTTTGTCAAGTTTTTACCAAATTGACTACAGCAGATGATACTTAGTATCAATGTCTTATAATATGTGTTATGTATATGCTTTTTGTAACCATCCTTTCCCTACATTTTTTTAGTATAAGAACTCAACTGAATTAGCTATTTCGAAAGAGAGAATGTCAATCATGTGGTTTATTATTTCGTTGA